TGAGTTAAAAGCCTGAAAGGTTATACCTTTTTTTAAACAATGGGAATAAGAAAATCTAATTTGATATTTCTCAAAGTTCTGGTTAAATATGGATTTTCCCACCTGGCATACATTTTAAATCACCATACATTTAAAAATTTCAAAATGTATTACACTTTGAACTGTGTTAGCCATTTAATCTTATATGATTTATGTCCTGGCCCAGAACTATACTTACTTCATCTAAGAGGGGCAGGGGCATGCATGGCCAACATGCCCCCACCATTAAAAGGGTACTTCTTTCTCCCAAGTGTTTTCCTTGCCTTGTTCTGTGTGGCCCTGCTCTCTCTTCCACTTCTATCCCTATGACTCCCCACATTCACACTAGAGACTTGGTCTGCATTCTCCTGCCTACCCCTCTGGACCTGTTTGCTTTCCTGGAATCCTGCTTTTGACCTTCGAACTGATCACCAGTTGCAAGATCATAGGCTGCTCCATTGTTTCTTGACTTGGACCTTGTGCTTTTCCCCAAAGCTGGCTGACTCTCTCTCTTGGTCTGTAAATCATCTGCTAATCTGGGTAAATGCTGCTGTGCTCACTACCTCTGCTCTCTTGAGGGAGAGACAAGATGACTTAGCTTCTGAGAGAGTTTTCCCCTCCTTTGGCATACACAGCTGAAAATGGGAGTGGGGAACATCCAGAGAGTATATATTAACCACCTCTGCAGCGACAGCAACAGCAGCAGCAATTTCTATAAGTGACTCCATTTATAAAGATTCATTGTGTTTTCACATGCATTATCTCATTGGTTCTTCACTATGCAATCCTCTAAAGTAGATGAGACAGGCATTATTGTCCCATTTTACAGGTTAGAAAACTAAAGCTTAGGGCAGTGAAAAGATTTATTTGCCCAAGTATTCTTGGGTTTCCCAGGAATTTTGAGAGTTTTGTGTAAACACAACAGAGACATTTCAATGGTTCTGCAATCTTTGATATGATTTCTGAAATGTTAGTTGCCATTCTATCTTGGCCTTGGGACAAGGAGTCTTGTCAAAGTACCAGAAATGTGAACTTGAGAAAAGTGGGAATGGGGAAGGGAGGGAAATCTGTGCTGTCAACAGTCAACTTGAAACAAGTGAGGGGAAATGCCTCCGTCGTGAACTATTATCAGTTAACTTTTATTGAGTGTGAGAAATGCACTGGAAGCAGGGGAGCAGTGAGCCTGGGGAAGTCATTACCCTAGGAGGTGACTGAGCCCAGGGCTCTAGCTGGGGTTAAAAAATAGATTTAATTTAAGTACCAATAATAACTAAGACAGGAGAACCCCAATTCTGGTTTAGTGGTGTCATTGTTCACCATAGGGACAAGTAAGGAAATGACCCAATTCTGTGGGAAACAAAATGACCCTGGAAATACCAGATCTGTGAGGTTAACTTCTCAACCTGGAAAAGTACTAGAAGAAGAAAAAAAAATCACAATATCAGTTTGTAAATAACTGCAGACATCATTACAGTCTTAGTGTGACGGACCCTTGGAGATCATCTGATGCTCTCATTTTACAGACGAGGAAATTGAAGCCTAGAGAGGTGTGTGGATAAGGTAATAAAGTCAGTTAGTGGCAGAGGCAGGGCTAGAACCCACGTGTCAGCTCCTACCTGCTTGCTTCTTTCTACTGTGCCTCACTGCTTTTAAAAGAAGAGTATGAGATTCTCTGGGAATTTTCCAAGCTCCTTGAGGGCAATTACCATTCATTTTATTCCAGTTCCATGCATGTTATGGTTGCTTACTAGGTGTTTATTGTGCTGGGTTGAATAGAAGGGAGTCCTAAGAAATCACCAGAAAGGACTTTCTAAATACATGATCTGCTATTGGAAAGAGGAAGAGTCCTGACAAATACTTGCAACTCCTCTGAACACAGGGTGAATACGCTGGCATATTGAAGGGCAATGGAGAGAGAGAGGGCAACTAGGACCATAAGGTTAAGAGAGAGAAGTACTTTCCAACCCTATTGTAGAATCTCATTTTTCTGTCTCTTAGGTGTAAAAGTTAAAACTGCCCTTTCTCCCGACAAGTGACCTTAATTATGGCTTAGTTTTCACTAGCCCTCTCTACTTTCATATTGCTTTTTAAAATATAAGTTAGAACCCTTACATTGAGCAACAAAATATTGTCCAGATTATTTGGGGGACAGCCGAGTGTGGTGGAGAGAATGCTGAACTAGAATGACAGGAGATCTGGGTTCTATTGACAGTTTAGACACCAAATGTTCTTAAGCAAGTCACTTAACCAGAAATAAGGAGCTTTAGATTGGAGAAGAGAACACTTATGGAAGACATGAGAGCCAACATTAGGGCTATCATGTGGGAAAGGAAGTAGAGTCAGGGGCTCTTAGCACTTTTTGTGTGTTTTGGCAGTGTGGTTAAAGCCTATGGACTCCTTTTCAGAACAATATTTTAAATACATAAAATACACAAGATTACAAAGGAAATCAATTATATTGAAATACCATAATCGAAGTACTATTTAAAATTCCATAGACCCCAGGCTGAGAAACCCTGAACTAACTTTTCGGCCCTAGTGACCAGAACGAAGTGCAGTGGGTGGAAATCACAATGTATGCTAAACACAAAGAAAAGAAAATCTTCCCAACAATTGCAGCTGTCCCAAGGTGGAATGCATTACCTTGATAGAAAATGGATATCCTCTCACTAGAGGATCTTAAATAAACACTGGCTAACAATTAGTTATCTCTATGATAGACAAAATGCATGTCCCTTCCAATTCAGAGATCCTACAATTCTGTGACAAATCAGCTATTGGTATGGGAGAGAGAAAATAGCATGGGCAGGTTGAGAGTGCACACGCGTCGTGTTGTAGACATGGGCCGAGAGCTGTCCACTCGCATAAATACCAGCATTGCTTAGGGACATTTCAATGACCAAAATCCTCAGCAGCTGTGTGGGTGCAGAGAGGTGCAAAGTGAGTTTCCAGTACAGCAGGAAATTAAAACACAAAAACGAAAGGTGCTCTAAGAGCTGTTGATCGAGGGCATTGGAAATTAAGGCAGTGGAGAATCATATTTGTGTGACCCGGTTGGCTACGTGGCAGTGAGTTCCTGAAGTCTCACTCTCACATGCTAGTTACTTGAGATGCATATTAATGAATAATCTTTCCTCTGCCCTCTGGGAGACATGAAGGTAATTAACAGAGGATTCTCTGTTAGCCTAAAGGCAGAAAACCAAAGAGCAGGGAACATGGATCAGGTTTACTTCACATTCCTGCAAAAGAAAAGAATTTTAGTTGAAGAATAAAAATGATAGTACTAGCTGCACAAACATTATCTCATTTGGCCCTCAAAAAAACCTATGAGGTGGGTACTGCCCACATCATTATCCTTTTTAAAAAAAATCATTTATTTATTTATTTATCTATTTATTCATTCATTCATTCATTCATTCATTTATTTTTTCCATTATCCTTATTTTACTGATGAGGAAACTGAAGCTTAGAAGGGTTAAGTGAGTTGTCCAGGGTTATAGAGTGTGAAGGAAGAAAGCGTAATCAGGGAGGGGTGAGAAGAACATTGTGAGTTGATTATAAGTGTTAACTCAAGACGGCTTGTGTAATCCTTCCTGTAGAGAGAGATTTCTTTAGAGTTAGAGGATTTAAGACACTTCTCTGATGTTTACCATCTATGTGAGACTTCACTGTGTAAGGGAAAGTAGAACTACTCCCTCTTCGGTGGCTTCCACACTTGGAATGTGGGTGTTACCAGCTTTTTAGCGGCACTCTTTCCCTTCCCAGCAGGCAGACCTACTCCATAGTCACTGCTCTACACTACTCTACCCCCAAAGGGAGATTCTTCTGTACATACATATGTGGGTAAAGAGAACAGTGGAGAAGACAGCCTTGCTCACTAGCACCCAGCCCCTCAGCAACCAACAACGAGACAATCAGCTAGTTTTTTACCTAAGGGGGAAAAAATCCCTGGATACAACTTGTATACTGCTTTAGGACATTTATATAAAATGTCAAATAAATCAGCATCATTTAAATCTCTCTCATTTTCCTCGTAGTCCCCAGTCTGGATAGCGCCCCTATGCCATGAAACAGAGGGTCCAAACTTCTGTCGTTTTCACTATCCCCTGCCTGCCGATGTTTCTCCTTCTTTCACAGTGGACAGTTTGTAAAGAATGCATCACACAAACCAAAGCATCTGTGAGCTGGTCACTTCTTTATCTAGCTGGCATTCAAACTAGCTAAACATAAAGTCAAACAAACTTTAAAAATCTAAGTTTTGGATTTAACCCAAAAAATTCAAACATACTTGTAAAATTAAAAAAAGATTAGAATTTATTCCTGGGTACTTCTGGCTTTACTCAAAGGAATATCTTAGCCTTCCTAATAGAAGTTTAAACAAGATCCTAATAAATGGAGTTGTCATTGGATAGTATCTTAGTCATATATAACCATAGAAATAAATGAGTATAAAAAGGTTTTGTATGCAGGGAGTAAAAATAGTCAGTAAGGCTTTGTGAATAGAGTTGGCCCTGAAACCAAGAAGATTCAAGTTTAACTCCTGCTTCTAACACATCCTTGCTGAGTTACCTATCGGTGTTCTAGGTAACTCTTTAAGACTCAGTTTCAGAGGTGGCGCTAAGCTACATTGGTAAAGAGAGTTTCCTTACTAAGATGTACTAGTGAAATCACAAGTCTGGTCCCTATTCCTGTACAAGTCTGAGTGGGGAAAGTCATGCCACTAACTGGGGGTGGTTTTGAGAAGGATTTGGGTTAGTTAGAAGGAATTCCTTGAGGTAGCGTTGAGAATTGGGCAAATTCCCTGTGCTAGGTTTGGCTGTGGTTAAAATATGTGTTTTAGATTCTTGAAGGTCAGTTCTGTGTGTTCAGTGAAAAATAAGCTTAGTCTCAGAGGTCATAACAGTTGTTTGTTCTCTTACATAGCTTAATAAAATGTCCTTTTCAAGGAGATTATTTCATATTGTCATAACTTCACTTCTTAGGTTCTGGGATGAATTTATTCCACATACGTAAAAAATCCTGGTCCCAGCCCTGCCTAGATGCATGCGCACCGGAGTTAGAGGAGAAACTTGGACCGGCGGTACCCTCGAGTTCAGTACTGGTACGTGTTCAGCCCAGTGATCAAAAACTTATGGATGCCATTTTTATCAGAGTTTGTAAATGCAGATACGGTTTTAGTTAAATAGATGTCATTAAATAGAATTTCCTTTAAATTGCTTGTACATGACTGAGTGAAATTCTGAAGAATTCCATAGGAAATGAAGAAAATTAGGGAGAAAACTAAAGCACTGTATTTTCTCAAGTATTACGTAATTAAGAAAAAATATTTAGAATCCTAGGAGGTAACATTGAGACAAACCGGTCCTGCCCATAGCTGCTGGCAAATTAGTCTTCTAAATGTTCAGTTCCTGCCATTCTCCCTTCAAAAACTTTCCATGGCTCCCCATTGCCTATAAAATTAAATTTTAACTCCTCCTCCTGGCATCAAGACCCTCCACAAAAAAGGCTGTAACCTACTTTTAAAGCTTCCTTTCCTACTATTTCCCTGCATGTACTTTATTATCTTTCCTAATAGGTCTTCAGGGTGCCCTACACTAACTGCTTCATTTGGTCTGTTTCCTGCTGTTCCTTCTAGCTGGGGTACCTTCCCTCAAACTTTGTTGAAATCCTACCTTCCTTTAAGGGCCATCTTAAATGCCACCTCCTTTGTGAAACTTTCCCTGAGTCCTTCCCTTCTTCCTCTCCAATGCCCTTCTCCTGTGATTGCTCCCCATGGCAAGTTGTGCTTTCACAGTGTCTATCACAATCTGCCTTGTATTATAGATATTTATGCATTTACTTTTATCTCATCTAGAGAACTTTAAATGCCCTGAGGGTTTCTTTGCACCTAACGGAGTCATTGAATGTAGTTTATGAGAACTGTCTGTTGAATTTAAATGAGAGTTGTTACTCAAAGAGGTTGTCCATGCAAAAAAATAAAATACTGTCACATGCTCATGTTTAACTCAAGGTTTTTTGCCCATAGTCACAGATGGTAAGTATCAGAAGCAGGATCTGAAATCAGATTTTCCTGACTCCAGATCCAACATGCTGTTATGTTGGGCAGGTGGTAAATAACTATTTCTTAAGCACCTTCTCTATGCCCAGTAGATGAACAGAATAGAGGAGACAGAAGAACATGGACCTTGCCCTTGAAGAGCTCTAGCAGAATAGAATCACAACATACACACATGACACAACTAGAAAACTATAATCATGTCATATTAGACTTCATGTGTTTAATTATTTGTTGTTATTTAGTAAATTTTTTAAAGGGGAAATAGACCTCTGATTTCATTGGTATAGGGAACTTATTGGTAAAAAAAATAAAGACAAAAACAAAACTCTCTCTCCCAATACATATCATCACCTACTCTGTAACTTAAAGTCTTAGAGGACTGCCTGAGATATTGGGAAGGTAAATGACTTGTCCAGGGTCACACAGTCAGTGTACTTCAGAGGTGAGATTTGAACCCTGAGTCTTCCTGACTCTAAGACAGAAATTTCCTACCCACAAAGAAAACTCCAAGTGGTGGCCAAGTCATAGCTGTAGCTCCCAGTAAGGTGTGGAATTGAGTAACAAGGGTTCCATGCCTCCCCATCTTTAGCCTGTCTTGTTCCTCTAGCTACACCATAGTGAAGTAGGGGCCAACATATGCTCAGGATTAATGGGTGATTATCAGGCCTCTATTCAGATTATAAGAGAGTTTAAAAGCTCAGAAGGGATGGGCAGGACATTCCCAACCCACTGCCAGAGGTTGAGAATCAACAAATGGTTGTTTTCTTAAGGACTCTGGATCATATGTACCCTTTCCTCTGGTTCCCCTGTCAAATTAGACCACCCTGGGACTCATCAGCCCAAGCCCCCTCTTCCTCCTCTTCTTTGGACTCTTGGATTCTTGAATATTTTGGATGCTTCCTTCCATTGGAGCAAAATATGACTCACCCTCACCCATGACTTTTCATCCTGTGTAAATCTTGTTCATGTCTTTCAATAAATTCTCCAAATAGCATCTACCTGATACACTGGAGAACTCCTGCTAGATCTTTTAGTATTTCATGGACACAGGTATAACAATTGGACTGTTCATTATTCCTCTGTATTGCTACCTGACTGGCCTACCTCTTTTTCTAATCTTCATGTCTTTAATGATATCTTTTATATCATACCTTGTGTGTAAATCATTATTGCTATTATACTACAGTGTCCTTACACCTACCATATTATCTCCCCCTGCTGCTCTTTAGGTCACCCACGATATAGATTCCTTAGAGATCATGGTATGCCATGATTGGCAGCCACATAATTAATATCACTGAGAGAATATTGCTGTTGAAGAAGTAGGCTTTTGTGTCAAGAACAACCTTAGAATTGTTGAAGGCACCATGTGGTTTTTCAAATGCAATTTATTCCACTCACCTTCTCCTATTCAATTCTGGGCCTACATAATTGTTCCTCTGCAATACCTGTCCAAGATATATTACTGATGCCTGAATTTAATGTTCTACCCATCCCGTAGTAGTAGAGAAGTAGCATGGCATGGTGGAGAGAGAGCCAACTTTCAAGCCCAGGGAGACCTGAGCTGAAGTCCCACCTCTAAACCTGGTAGACAAGTGACCTGATAGGTCACTCAACCTTGCAGTGCTCTGGCCTCAGATATCAAGCTAAAGAAATGGAGGTGGGGAGGGCATCGACTTAAGCATACTTAAGGATCTGTACAAGCCACACAAAAGCCGATTTAGTTTTAAAATGTAATGTAACCTATGTTTTATTGTATTTTTATTTATTTTGTTAAATATTTACCAATTACACTTTAATATGGTTTGCTACTTGAGAGTATTGTGAGCAGCTTGTTTGCTGCCTCTGCTGTGGGTAACTTTCTTTTTTCTTTTTCTTTTCTTTTCTTTTTTTTGGTGAGGCAATTGGGGTTAAGTGACTTGCCCAGGGTCACACAGGTAGTATGTGTCAAATGACTGAGGTCAGATTTGCACTTAGGTCCTACTGACTCCAGGGCCCACATTCTATTCACTGTGCCACCTACCTGCGCTTCTGGTTAACTTTCTAAGAATTTAAGTTGCAGAGAATGTGCTCAACTGAATTGGTAGAGAAAGTTTCCTGACTTTGGAGTTCCATATGCCAATGAAACCACAGGTGAGGTCCAATCTTCATCCATGGAACTGATAGTCTCTGCACCATATGTTTGTAATCCACTTGGTTTCTATGTGAATTAAAAGGCTGATCTGCTGTGTGTCTTAATGAAAAGACCCTCTAGTCATCCATGGTTGGGTGGATTCTTAGGTATCTGGAGATCATCCATCATCTATCTGTAGCAGAGGTTCTTAACCTGGGGTCAATGAACTTTAAAAAACCTTTTAAAAAGATAATTGTACTTTAATGTAACTTGTTTCCTTTGTAATCCTAGGTATTTTATTCTATGCATTTAAAAACACTTTTGTGAGAAGAAGCCATAGGCTTTACCTGGCTGTTCTGTGTCCATAACCAAAAAAAGTTGATTTATAGGAAGAATGTCAATAATGACATGATTCAGTCTTCCAGCAGAGTATGAATTCACTGATCATTGGACAGAGATTTCACATTTAAAATGCCATCTAGGAACTTTGTGATTCTTAGTGCTTTCTTTCCCCCTTTCCAACACTGTGCCATTGTCATTGGGCTGTGCAGGGCCCAAAGCCATATTTTCAATTTTTTATCTACTTCATAGGTCGCCAGAGGCAGAGAATTCATCACTTCATGGCTAGCTGTCTGGTGAAGAGCCTCTCTTTACTTAGCTGAGTTGGTCCTTGGGTAATAGACCCAATCTGTTGATGTGTCCTTAATAAAATAACTTCTAGCTTGGTAAAACCTGCCAGAGCTTCTATTCCACTGGCACGACCTTTGAGAACTCGGTGTCATCTCTATACCTTGATGAGACATCAGAGGAGGATTAAAGTGGAGACTGCCTTTCAGACAGATACAATTTCTTGGTTAATGCTCCAGAGAGGAAAATGCCTTTAGCATTAAACATTTTCTTTTTAAAACATTTTTATTGATATCTTTTTAAAAATATAACATATACTTCCCAGAACATGTCTCTGTCATTCTCCCTGCCCAGAACTGTCTCTTCTAACCAAGAAAAAAAAAAGAAGAGGCAATACTAACTTAAATATTGAAAAAGTCTGGCATAATATGCAGTGTTCCACATCCATAGACCCCAACCTCTGCAAAGAATAGGGAGAAGTGCCTTCTCATGTATCTTCTTTGAGGACAGTCTTGGTCATTATAATCTCACTCTCTAGGTTGTTTTGTTAAGGATTTTCTTTCCATTTACATTGTTGAAGTCCTTGCACATAGAACTGGACTTTCATTACAGAAACATTCCCTTTTCTGATTGTGTAGATCACTAGAGCTCTGGGGAACGCATGAGAAGTTCTGCTTTAAAGAATTCAGAGCAAGAGAATATCAGCATGGACAGTGATTGCAGAGGAGAAAAAGTTGTGTATTATTTTACAAAATATCAGATTCAGTCCAGCATTCCCAAGATTATTACATTAACTTTCTTGTTTGACCCTTGATTGGGATGAACTTTGATCACTTACCAGTACTGTTGTGATCATGGGATTGTAGATCAAGTTAGAGGGGACCTCACAGTCCAACTAGTGCAGCCCCCTCATTTTGTAGATGTGGAAACTGATGCCCGGGAAGGGTTAGTACCTTGCCTATTAACTAATGAGTTACTAAAGCACCTATCCTATGAAAGTTTTTTTTCTAAAAATAGGATAAATCCCTCCCCTTTAATTGGTGAAGTGATAGACTACGGGGGTAGAACATTGTATCAGTTGCTTTGCGTAATTTTAAAAAATTGGTCTTGTTGCAATGAAAGGTGATGGGTAAGGTGTGCACAAAGGGTAGATCTAGAAGAAAACTGATATAAAAACAAATGTATTAACAAAATATTTAAAAAGGAATTTTTGGTAGAATGAAAAATATAAAAGCAATGCATATCTATCTCAACAACTAAAACCAATGTTTCAAATGAAAAGAGACCGAAATTCAAAACCAAT